TCCAGAAACGGGTAACGAGTCGTCGGACATACTTCAGACCCTCAGTGAGCGCCGGGAGATTGCAGTTAATGTCCACACAATCGTTGACACTATAGGGCGGCGCTATTCGGACGCTATTGTCCACAACGATCACCTTTTTGTCCAAATGAACAATATTTCCGTTAATCTTCTCCAGAAAGGCATACATAAGGACTCCAGTGTTGGTAATACCGGCGCCGACAGCGGCTATCAATTCCTTTCGCTGTCTGACCATCAGATTGTATCTGTCGTCCAGACTTTTTATTTTGATTAATGGCAGCGCATTGTTGGCCACCACTTGTCCGGACACCAACAGATCGATCCGCACATCCGTCACGTAATTGAGGTTAAGAAACGCGATGTCTGAGTGCCGTCCGTTGCCGTCACTGCCGGCCCTCTTCAGCATTAGTATACGTCTCGTGTAATCAAATGCCATGACTTCGCCAGAGATCCAATCGGTGACCGCAGGAGTGGCCGACGGGTACAGACACGACACCACACTTCCCACAGTAAACATGTTTTCCTTGTTATCGTCGGTTGGCATCAGTTTTCTGGTCTCCATTACTGTCGACGACAACCTGAACGATGGCTACATGTAATTCATGACAAAGAAATCATGGTTAAATCTTAAATTTAATGTAAAAAGGCATATAGTTTTGTATTATAAATGATATCAATTATAATTGTTATATTGTAATTGTAATAAATTATTATAAATTAAAATTACAATTTTAAGTGTGTAATTGGAATGAATAAATAATTTGTTTATTAAAAACAAAAAATTTTAATATTACTGATAGTATAGTATCCATGAGTTAAGGCCTGATTAAAAGGTTTTACTAGTTTAGTGGAAAAATATCAAATATTTAATGAATAGGCTCTTAAATAGTGTACTCTTATAATGGATTTGAAAAACAAATAAAATATTTATTGAACTACTGTATAATATTTATTGAAAGTAATTCCTGTAATCTATGAGATATCTATATAAACATTTCAATGTGATATTGGTAGGGTATTATGGCATTTTTCCCACGTTTTATTGAATTTTATTAAGTTTAAAATTTAAAAAGTTCTATAAAGTTTTTATTTAATGTGCAATAAATACGTTACATACGTTACAAGGTATATTAAAATTTTGTTTTATTATTTTATTAATGTTTTCATTGTATAATTTTATTTAAAATAATTTCAACTGACCATGCACAATTTTATGAACTTGATTCCTTTCGCTGACTGACCATCAGATTGTACCTGTCATCCATACTTTTGGTATTGATTAATGCAATGGCAGCGCATTGTTGGCCACCACTTGTCCGGACACTAACCGATCGATCCGCACATCCGTCACGTAATTAAGGTTAAGAAAAGCGATGTCTGATTGCCGTCCGTTGCCGTCACTGCCGGTCCTCTTTAGCATTAGTATACAAGATTTTTGTTCCATGCACATTTTATTAAATTTTATTTAAAAATTTTAATGTACATTATGTAATATACTGTATATTGAATTATGTTTCCTTGTTTTATTGATGTGCTCATTATATAGTAGTATAAATATAAAGCCTTTACTTTATTAGGCTTGAAATAATTTCAAATTATATAATTACTGATCATGCAAAATTTTATGATTAATTAGCAAATTTTGTAAAATAAGTTTAAAATAAATTATATGCAAAAGTCATTGAGATGTACAAAACATAAGATCAGTTTTTTGCAAATAATTTTAGTTTTGTTGATAACAAGATATAATACAATCGTTTTTATTCATATTTATTTAAATATAAATAATAAATGTATTATAAATATAAAAAAGTAAAAGTTTTAGCTTAACAAAAACAGCATATCCTTGAATTCATTGGTATATAAAAGTAATTTATTTATAATAAAAATTTTGCATACATTTGATTATATTTGGACTCCATATTAAATACTTACATATTTAAATATTTAACTAGTTGCTATAAACATTTTACATATGTAACAATGAGCGAGAGTTTTCAGGAAACAGACTTATCTATGATAGAGATAATCAAAGGCCAGACACCGGAAGACATACGAGAAAAGTGTCACCATTTGTGTCAACAATATTTGGGAGGCGTTTGGAGTGATGTCCGCATCAATGATGTGAACGTCCGGCGAATTAGCGGTGGATTTTCCAACCAATTATATCACTGCCAACTGTCGGACAGTGTAGGGGTCGGCGCCGACAACGAGCCCCGGGATGTGGCCGTCAGACTGTTTGGCGAAAAGAATCTCAATACTGAGTTCGCGGGCGCCGGGCGTCACACCGACGCTATTGTTGGCCCGCTTATGGCTAAACACGGTTTGGGCCCAAAAATCTACGGTTCGTTTCCTTCCGGAGAGATTCAACAGTTTGTAAAAGTATGTGTCTTTTGGTCTATAGATTATGTATAGACATTACTATACCCTTATTGTCCTTATATAACCTATGGGTTAGTAAGAAAATTAGAAAGATATAGTAATATTAGCGCGTTTTTTATATGCTATTTTAAAGCACAGGCAGTTTAGAGTCGATGAGCAAAGAGATGCAAAACTTGTTAAAGAATTGGCCCAAAAACTGGCAAAATTTCATTCATTAAATCCTTCAGAGATAAGTGAGACTAACAATTGGTTACTAAAAACCATCGATAACTGTATGGAAAAGGCATACGAAAAGTTCCCAATCGATCGACTGATAGATGAGCTAAATTTAGATGTGTTAAACACTGAGAGTCTGAACCGTGAACTTCAATGGTTATACAAATGCATGGATGAAACAGATTCACCGGTTTGTTTTGTTCATAACGACTTCCGGGGCAATAACATCATGGTATTGGACGACACCGATCACAACTCAAACACCCGCACCGGTCAACGGGTAATGTTTTGCGACTTTGAGTGCTCCGGGTTTGGATACCGGGGCACCGATTTGGGCACTATATTTGCCGAATGGAATCGCGACGGCTTTAATGACTATAAGACTGTCCAACAGTTTCCCGACGACATCCATATTAAGCCGTTTATCGATGAATATATGGCGGAATCGATTCGCTTGAGAGGACAGGCATTTTCAGGTGACCCGAGAAATACGTTCACACATATTATGACAGAGATTAAAGTGTTTACTTTGGTCTCCAATCTATTTATGATCGCTATATCGCTAGCGATGGACGAGTCCCCGGATGTGCCGCTGTATACAAAACGCAATCTTACCGTCAGTTCCAGTGCTTACTTTTAGTTTAGTAAATATTTTATTAATTAAAATGTTTATGTTTTTGCCAATAGTTTGGAGCGAATCTTCTTTTCAAAAACTACTTGCATTTGAAAGCAATGTTTATCAACGATAAGACCATTGATTGTGATAGTTATGAATAATATGTGCATCAAATGCAAAATACTTGATATAACTAATTGTTAATTGTTTTTGTTTGTTTTAAACTATTTTATTTGTTGACTATATTATGTTTTTGTTAAACCTTTGTTCAAATTTTATATTTATTTTGAGTACAAAAAGTCATATTAAATGTGACTATAAATTAAAGTGATAAACAAATTAATTTATCTTTATATAATATTGATTATATATTTAATATAATTTCTGTATTTTAATAAAAATATATTTACTTAAATAAATAGTTGAATACACCATTGAGAGGAACTTTCCCAACAATTATAAATTCATAAACAAAATTATTTAATAATTACTATTGATTATGAATTTGCATATCATTTAAAAATTAAAAGTTATAATAATATAATGTTGTGTTCATTTGAAGGACATTTAATTTGATTAATATTTACGACAAAAACTGGTTTTCACATCTCTTAACTATTATAAAAGTAAATAATTGATTGATTTTCCACTTAAAACACATACAATGAACTTACAATTTATAGTGAAATCAAGTTTTAAAAGAATTTTAAAATTGGAAAAATTTTAAGAAAATAATTTTGCAATTCCTGTAATTCATACCTTTTTAAAATTATAAAGCAGAGAGAGAGAGAGATGAGGTGGAGGCG